TTTTTTTGTTTTTAGGTTCTCCTTGAGCTTTCTGTGAAGCCACACTGGCCTTTTTTGCTGCCTCCCACCTTTTTTTCTTGTTGGAATTGTTTGTAGTTGTGCTTTTAGAATTTTTTTTTTTTAGAAGCTCCCACCCTTCTTGGACTCTTTTCTCGTATCTCCTGCCATGGGACCTTACTTATCCTTGTTCTGAGATTATTAAAATTGGCTTTTTAAAAATCCAGCAGATATGTGTGGCTACACTCTGCTTTCGTTTCCTTTGAAATCAAGAACTCTAGAAGGACATGGTCACTCTCGCCTAGAGTTCCCCTTACTGCCACTTCCCCCACCAAGTAAGTCATCTCTGTTGGTCAGAATCAAGCCAAGGCTAGCAAATCCTCTAGTTTCTTTCTCCACTTTTTTTGTAGGAGAAAATTATCAGCCACACAAGCCAGGGATTTCTTGGAAGGGCCATATTTGACAGAATTTGCTTCCCAATATGTATTTGGATAACTGAAATCTCCCGTCACTACTACATTGTGTCTCTTTGAAAACTGCAAATTGTTTTTCAAAAGGTTTGTCCGCTTCTTCTCTTTAATTGGGAGGTTGGTAGTAGACTCCAACTACCAATTTCCTTTCGTTTTTTGCCCCAATTAGATTCATCCAGATGCTACCTCACAGCTTTGTTCTAAGGAAAGAATGGTTTGGGGGACAGGGGGAAAAAAGAGCCATGCATTCCACCTTGATGGAAAAGTGGGGTAGGAATGAAGATTGTGTAAATAATGTATTCAGTATCATTGAAAAGTCCAACCTTTGTTTTAAAATGGGATGTGGAAATGGTACTTGCAATTAAAACATTTCAGCATGAAGGAATCCTCTGAAGTGTTGCAGCCAACCATGAACTTCTCTTAGAATCTATTTTCCGATCCAGTTTTCCAGATTTGTGTTTTACTCCACATATCTTCCTTAAACGGCTACTGAGCAAACACAAATTTCACAAAGGCCTCTGCGGTTCTGTTTCGGTCCCTCAACGCTTTCTGCCTTAAAGATATGCTGCACTTTTTTGTAAGCTTAGAGGTTCCCCCGAATGTGTCACCTTGTTTCTCAAGATTTCTGGTTCTGCCTACAGTCCTTTTAGTATTTTCTCACTACGTTCTCTGTCAGAACAAGTGACCATGCAGAATCCGCTCCTTCAGTGAAATACAACATGTCATTTACTAAAAGAATGCGGTTACTGCAAAATCTCCTCGCCCCCGATGTCATAAACAGGAAATCCTGTAAGTACATACCTAGGATAGCAAAGATGACCATGAAGAAGAGCAGGAGGAGGAGGATGTCGATGAATGGAGGGAGAGACTGAAAGATCTGTCGCAGGTTTCTGAAAGAAACATTTAATTTAGAATTATCTGACAGGAACACCTTCTCCTTCAGATCATGATCTGAGGAGGTGCCACGAACGGCAAGATCATCATAGGCATCAAGTGGCATCAAGGTCTGATTTAGGGATTGGTGACCTCAGAAGGTCCAAGGGCCATTTTCCAAATCAGTTGGCAGCCCAAGGCCTATACGTATTCTCGAAAGGGACAGGTTACATTTACCACTGTACATAAATGGTGAGGAAGTGGAGAGAGTTGGTAGTTTTAAATTTCTGGGTACTTACATCTCAGAGGACCTCTCGTGGACTATAAATGCCAACATGCTAGTGAAGAAGGCACAGAAGAGGCTGTATTTCCTGAGAATGCTCGGGAAGTTAAATTTATCACAGCATTTACTTCTGTCCTACTATCGTAGCACCACTGAGAGTGTCCTAACCTATGGCATTCTCGCATGGTTTGGGAGTAGCTCTGTAGCGGACAAAAAAGCTCTACAGAGAACCATTAAAATTGCCCAGAATATCATCGGGCTCCAGCTACCAACCCTGGATGACATCTTCACATCCCGCTGTCTGAGGAAGTCACACAGCATCCTGAGAGACTCTTCCCATCCTGCTTATAATTTTTTTGAACTGTTACCGTCTGGCAGAAGATACAGAACAATTAAGACTTGGACCACACGTTTTCTAAATAGTTTTTATCCTAGAGCTATAATTGCAATTAATAATGAGCTTAAAGACCACCAGTAGTGAATAATTAGTTGGACTGTGTTACTTGGCCTGAGGTGTAGATGTTTGTATTTTTAGTGGGGGACTTTTAGTGGGTGGGGAGTGTTTGGGAATTTTATGTGTGTGCATGTGTCTGGTCTCTGGGTGTCTGTGAATTTCGTTGTATGGGTATACTGTGTATATACTTACAATGACAATAAATTATATTATTATTATTATTATTATTAAAGGCTGGGAAGCAGAGTCAAATAAAATAACAGTGGTGCCTCGCAAGACAAAAGTAATTTGTTCTGTGAGTAGCGCTGTCTTGCAAAATTTTCATTGCAATGCATTCCTATGGGAACCTTGCACAACGAATGAATAATTTTCGTCTTGCAAAAAGCGGTTTCCCATAGGAATGCATTGCAATGCATTCCTATGGGAACCTTGCAAAACAAATAAATTATTTTCGTCTCGTGAGGCATCGGCCTTGGGGGAAAAAAACGTCTTGTGAAGCTGGCACCACAGGGATCACAAAAACCATTCATCTTGCAGGTTTTTCATCCCACGAGGCATTCGCCTTGCGAGGCACCACTGAATACCCATGTTTTTAAATTTATTTTTTGCAAAAATCATCACAGTGTATTTTTTTAATACCTGGAAATCAAGTTTAATTAGCATTTGGGGGAGGTATCACGAGCCCAGGGCAAAGGGTGGGTGGGTCAAAACATGGTACAACTGCTCCCTCGCCTTTGGAGAGCACCAGGAGACTCTCTGACCAAAAAGTTTGTGTGGGAGAGGAACCTGGTCCACCCAGAGGTGCTGGACCGCTGCAAAAAGTCCCTGGGGTGGGGGCTGAATGTAGCTTATCTTTTGCTCACTACTCAGCTGAACTTATCCCTGAAATGTCACCATAAATGTGGAATTGCTTACATAAAGAAACGTGTCTGATCAGGTCGTCAGCCTCCTTTCTGAAGTCAAGGGGAGAAATTCTTGGCTTCTCTCTATAATACAGCATTTCATTATCCCCATAATATTTTGGTTAGAACACCACTGCTATGGCATCATCATCATCATCTCCCTCACGTGCCATCAAGTCAATTCGGACATAGGGCAGCCCTCTTTTGGGATTTTCCAGGCAAAGTGAGCAGAATCTGCCACAGCTAAGTGACAAGGTGCAGCGTGCGTCTCAGTGGCACCGTCAGGCGCAAGAGCAGACACGTGGCCGACATACGCCTCAGCACCTTGTCAATTAGCCGTGGCAAGTTACAGAAGATTCTGGCCTTTGGGGTTTTAGGACTCCACCGCGATAAGCATTTTTTTGATATTAACACATATTGGAAAGTCACTTTAACCCCCTGCTGAAAAATACATTTAAACAAAAAACAATGGCTTCCATTTAAATTCTAGCGACTCATGCGTTCAGTCTGCAGTCCCCAGCTTCAGCCTAAAGTCTGTCCCGTGGCCATAGTGATATTAACACATACTGGAAAGTCACTTTAACACCCTGCCGAAAAATACATTTAAACAAAACAATGGCTTCCATTTAAATTCTAGTGACTCATGCGTTCAGTCTGCAGTCCCCACCTTCAGCCTAAAGTCTGTCCCGTGGCCATAATATCTGATCTAAATGTTGAACTTCTCTATTCCTTTTCCCATCCTCCAGTTTTTGTACCACCAAGCTTGATTTGAGTATTCTGGAGAACTTAAAAGCTTGCATATGCCTTGGTAGGATTTTCATAGTATTGTCCAGTAGTGCATATATATTTTTTCTAATCTATCAGAAAAACTGTTAGAGGAAAAACGTGCTTTTTAAAGGAAAAAAATAAGTGACAAACATTTTTATTATTCAAGCACTCCCTAAAAACATATTTATTTCTGCAGGCTACGAGGTACATGCATTGTATCTATCTGTGGGTTTGTGTGCAGGCAGGCATACTGCTTCTGCGATTTTAGAAGGATGATGATTTCTCCTGCACGTATGCCCTTTCATATAGGTTGTCAGTCATCCTGGAAGAATGGGGAAGTGAATGAAATACATTTTCACAATACTGCCTACCAGATTCTCCCCTCTTGCTCTCCCTGTTAGAAAGCAGTGGAGCTTTCTGGCATCGCGGTGGGTGGGTCTCCTCTCCCAAGAACGCCTTGTGTGGGCTTTGTCGAAATGTAGGCAAACAATCTTTAAAGGCAGAAGCACCTTGGCTACTCCTATGACTCACAGTCCATTTGAGATCATCTGTCCTCTTGGATACTCAGGGGCAAAAAGAATGTTGGGCTCGGTAACTAATTTACAAATCCCCTCTCTATCCAAACAACCAACACAGTTCCATAGCCATTAGAGGGAACGTGATCAGCAACATACGGACAAATGGCAGTGTCGAAAATCTTCGGCTTCTGTACCCCACCCCACCATCTTTGAGAGGAACAGCTCTGTTTTTTCCCCCTCCAGATATTCCTCCTATTTGCCTTACACACCTTTCCCCAAAATGAACTTTCTGGCTTACAGATGTTTGTATTCTACATCTTTCACATGAGTGCCAATTTGCAGAGGCCCCTCAGTACCGCAGTGTGTTACATTATCTTGTTGTCAACACTCAGGAATTTTTTTATGACCCTTTTAAGGAAGGAGAAAGATGACTTGTACGGATCAGTAACAGCCTGTCTTGCTATAATTTAAGACTACAATAAGTCAACCTGTTGCTGAGAGGGCCTCAGTTTGATGTAAACTCCAGCACACTTCAGGTCAACTGATATCAGAAACAACCTGAAAGGAATTTAAGAATCTGGGATCTAAAATCTGGAGGCACGGAGTCTACCTGAACTGTCAAGAGACTGCTACAGGCAAAATCAAGCACTGTGCATCTGATGAAGCTGGTTCTGCAGTACACGAAATAAAATATGTTAGTCTTCAAGGCACCATAAGGATCTCAGCTGGTTTGCTGCCATAACAAATGTGACTACACCCTCCTACTGGAAATTATGACAACCAGCGAAGAAAAGCAATCTGAAAAGCAGATTAGCCCAATCTTGCGATATTTGAAGTCTAATGTGGCTAATATTTCTCTTTCTTCTATAACCTGAGAATTCTTTGACTCGTCTTCAGGTGATTCAGATTAGAAACATCTGAACTCTCAATCTTTACACCAAGTCCGAGCGTATGTCTTCTCAAAAGCGTGGAACTTAAGACGGACGGCCCCTCGTAGGCCATTTCATCCTGCTGAGTTCAGGAAATCTAGCAGTAAAGCATCTCCAGCAGGTCACTGACAAACATTTGTGCCAAGAACCCCAGCAAGGGGGAGCCCACCACACCAGATTATCCTGTGTTTTTTTCCCCCATTCTTTAATTGAACAAATAATTTCACAGGACTCTTGGTTTCACACACCTTTGAATTTTACCCTGTCTTTGGAGGTGTTAGGTGTCCCTCTCATATTGACCAATCAATATTGATCAGATTTCCTAGACCCCTTCTTCATTACGTTTACAGTTTAAAAGGTTGAGGACTACAGGGATTGGATCTCTAAAGTACTCACTACTCCCGGATGACTCAAAACTCTTGGCGTTCAGCTTTCCAATCATCTCTAAATCGAGCTGACGGTAGTGTGATCTAGCCCATAATTTATCAATTTGCTGACAAGAATATCACAGGGAACTTTTGAGTTTTGCTAACACCAAGATAAATTATGTTCCCAGAATTCCCACAAGCCACTAAATGAATAACCAAATTAAATTAAGAGACTACGTCCTTCTAGAATATTTTTTGCTCAAAAATTTCATGCTGGTTCCTATTAATCACCCCACTACTATCAAGATTCTTTCAAAATGCCTTTGATATTTTCTTTTCTGGTACTAAAATCACACCACTTGGGGCGCAGTTTCCAGGAAATGCTTTCTTCCTCTTTCTGAAGACGGTGAGAACACCCAGAGAGGTTCAACTTCCACTCCTAGGATTCCTAGATAGCGTGGCCGATCCTAACGGATTATGGGAGCAAAACGGCGAGAGGCCAAAGATTCTCCAGTCTTGCCTGAGAACACAATTTGTTTGGCTTTGAAAGCTTGAATTTATTTTAAATGCTTGGTGTTTTTTTGTTTGTTTTGTTTTTTGGCCTTATGATTCTTGAATTGCAACCTTGATCCCTCATCTGTATGATGCTTATGTGGGACCACCCCAGTTGATCTTTTGAGAAAAGATGAAAGCAAAATAGGAACTAAGCAGCTTTATCCTCTTTGTGATCTGTTAATATTTAACTGAGCTACAGCCCTTCCTTCCTCTTAATTATATCTGGAAAATCCACTTTTGCTGCTCTTAGCATTTTTTAAAAAACAGTTGCAGCCAATTCTGATCCTCCTCTTTCTTCACCTTGTTTATCCATGTCTGAGCTCCTCATTTGTACACACCTAGACTTTAGTCATGAGCAGTCTTAGATGGCACGAAAGCTTCCCATTGTTTCACTGCCATTTTACCTTTTCTAACAACAGTATGCACATAAGTTCTGAAATTAGACCCGTCTGCTTCCAAATTCATCCTCTAGTAAACTTTAGGCCTGTATTTAGAGGAAAGGTACAAAATACTGAGTGGACGAGAAGCTGGGACAAAGCATGCCTTATGGCATCATGAGTGCTCTACACAAAGCCTGAAACGGCCACCCTCGTTACCTCCTGACGGCTCCACAGTAACGGCAGTCCACCAGGAAGATACATCGCAAAGCTCTTGTGATCCGGACGTGAGAGGTCTGGCGGACCAACACTACGATCGCCTCTATGAACTGCAGCAACAAGACACAGGTCTGCAAGAGAAGAAGGCAGTCAAGTTGGAGACCTCTACGCTCATGTCTCAGTCTCATAAGACTGGCAGCATCCCTTTGCTTTACAGGTGACTTACGGGGAGAAAAACTGGGTTATCCAAAAGGCTGTAGTTAATGGTTTCTTGGAGACTATAAGCAACAATGACATGCTTATAGAACTACACCTAGGTAAAGGTAAAGGTTCCCCTTGACAATTTTGTCTAGTCATGTCCGACTCTAGGCGGTGGTGCTCATCTCCGTTTCCCCCATAGAGCCTGTGTTTTGTCCGCAGACAATCCTCCCTGGTCACATGGCCAGCATGACTAGATATGGAACACCGTTTACCTTCCCACCATGGTGGTACCTATTTATCTGCTTGCATTTTTGCATTTTGCATGCTTTTGAACTGCTAGGTTGGTGGGAGCTGGGACAAGCGTTGGGGGCTCACTCCATCGCATGGATTCGATCTTATGACTGCAGGGCTTCTGACCTTGCAGCACAGACGCTTCTGCAGTTTAACCCGCAGCGCCACCACGTCCCATGGAACTGTACCTAGAGGGACATAAAAACACAAAACTAAAAGTAGCTTGAGGTTGACGCCTGGTTCTGAAAAATGTTTGTTTGTGCGTGAGAGAGAAATTGTGTAGTGGGGGCTGTGATCTTCTTAAAAGGCGAATCACCATTTCTGGATGATTCCAAGAACAGCATTCGTGAAACAAACAGAGCCCAAATGAAGAGGGGTCAAGAAAAAGCCAGGAGGCTGCAAAACACTGGGAGAGCCGTTTTTACTCAACACTTCCCTATATTAAAGTGGAAAAAACTGCAAATATCTGCATCCTGTGCTTACCAAAGCACAAGCTATCTTAGTTGCTACCAATATAAAAGTAGGGAGAAGTGAAAACAGAAACCACAGCTTTGTAGGGAACAAAATGAAATATATTATTTGGATAGAAACAGCCTTCCCTCTGCTGTGAACCTCTCCACCAAATGAAAACGAAGGTCACCAGATGAATCATCAATGCACAAGGAATGAAGCCCTCCCCATCCACCTGGCCTCACGTACACATCTCATAACGACGGGAGCATTCACTACAGGCAGAAACAAATCTGGAACCTGAGCACTGAATATGCCTAAACTATTTACAGCATCATAATATAATATCAACACTTCCCATTTTTCTATTGGAAATTAGAAAAAAAGTCATAGAGGGGGAAAAATGATGGGAGAAACCTAAAAAAAAACCCAACTATTTTTGAGAATTGATATAATAAACGTAAGCCGTCAAGTCAATTCTGACCTCTGGTGACCCAGGGTTTTCCAGGCAGAGAATACTGAGAGCTGGTTCCCCATTCCCTTCTTCTGGGGGCATCCTGGGGCTGTGCAAGCTTGCCCAAGGCTGTACAGACCAGATCGATGCATAGGAGGCAACCGCGGAGGACCAAATTCCCAACCTATGGCTCTGCAACCAGACCTAAACTACTGAGCTATACATCACTCCCGAAATGGATACTATGCGATTACCCAGATGCTGCTGGACTGCCATATCCATCATCTCATGCCTATCCCTAAATGTCTACCTTTCAAGAAACGTCTTCCCAGCAGTTCACTTTCAAACAGTTCCTGTACCTTATTTTCACAACAGATGCAAACTTACATTTGTATATCTGCAGCCAGAAGGCAAAAATAATAATAATCATCATCACCATTGATGTATTACTGCACTGTCTACTTAGCCTAGGAAAACATTTTTCAGGGGTCTTTGCAAAAGCAGATATATGGTTCAATGCTCTTTTTTTGAACCGTGCTAAATCCATAACCTCTAAGGCAGCATTATTTGCAGTCACTAGATGATATGGATGTAAACCTATCTGAACAATTGCCCAGGTGATCTGGCACAGACCCAACACGATAATGTGGACTGTTTAAAATAACCTTTTGTTGTTCTGTGTAGGGCTCTGCTGCATTCAGTGTTTATTCGGCACCATTAATCTAGGGGGAGCTGGAACTATGATATGGATGTAAATCTATCTGAACAATTGCCCATGTGATCTGGCACAGACCCAACACAATAATGTGGACTGTTTTAAATAACCTTTTGTTGTTCTGTGTATGGCTCTGCTGCATTCAGTGTTTATTTGGCACCATTAATCTAGGGGGAGCTGGAACTGTCCCTTTAGAAACCTTCTTCCTCACTAGAAAAATACATACTTGAGTTCCTTTGGGCATGCCAATTCCTTAAGTGCTGATTGTGTGTGGCTGTCACAGCAACAGCATTTCTCATCTCCTATAATTTGCAAATTAGCTCTATCTACACTACATTGGCTCTTCCTAAATAATATTTAAAAATTCAGCACTATTATTTAAGATTTATTATTGTACTATGATTGCTTTAGTGTTCTTCTTCAGCTTTACTCCAATTTTTGATACAAACAGTTCATGGTCTGCTGATATAGCCTATAATTCTTGAAGGAAATGGAAAATGTTTCTTTGCCTGGTGTCTTAGCGTTGACCATTCTGCTTGAGTGGCCCTGCTAGGATTCTAGCCTCCTAATAATATGGCTCTCAGCTTCCCTCAAACTTCCTCACCAATTTAAAGTGAGCACCCAAGGAGAGTTTACCTAGCAATATAGTGAGATAAAAGAATTCTAGTTTATATTGCTGGCCTGTTCAGATATAATGTCAAAGAAAAGGTTCCCCTTGACATTTAGTCCAGTCATGTCCGACTCTAGGACACACTGCTCATTCCCGTCTCCAAGCTGTAGAGCTAGCGCTTGTCCGTAGACAGTTTCCGTGGTCACGTGGCCAGCGAGACTAGACAAGGAACACAGTTACCTTCCCACCGAGGTGGTACAGTGGTGCCCCGCATGATGATAATCCGTTCCATAGAAATTGCTGTCTTGTGAAATCCTCATCTTGCAAAAAACATTTCTCCATTGGAATGCATTGAAACCCGTTTAATGCGTTCCAATGGGGAAAATAGTCGTTTTGCGAAAATCGCCCATACAGAAGCCAATTTGTGAAGCGCCAATCAGCTGTTTAAATCATTGTCTTGTGAAGTATTGGTCCTGAAAATAGGGAAGCCATTTTGCGAAGCTGCCGATCAGCTGTAAAAATAGTCGTCTTGCGAAAAAATGGTCTGCGAACCGGGGATCAAATCATCGTCGAGCGAAAATCGCTCATTGGAATCACTGTTTTGCAAATCACTATAGCGATCGCAAAACCTCATCGTCATGCAGATTCATTGTTTTGCGACTGTAAAGCGCCGATCAGCTGTTTAAATCATTGTCTTGTGAAGTATTGGTCCTGAAAATAGGGAAGCCATTTTGCGAAGCTGCCGATCAGCTGTAAAAATAGTCGTCTTGCGAAAAAATAGTCTGCGAACCAGGGATCAAATCATCGTCGAGTGAAAATCGCCCATTGGAATCACTGTTTTGCGAATCGCTATAGTGATCGCAAAACCTCATCGTCATGCAGATTCATTGTTTTGCGAGGTTGTCATTTAACGGGGCACCACTGTACCTATTTATCTACTTGCATTTACAGGCTTTTGAACTGCTAGGTTGGCAAGAGCTGGGAGAACCGACAGGAGCTCACTCCATCGCGTGGATTCGATCTTATGACTGTTGGTCTTCCGACCTTGCAGGACAGAGGCTTCTGCGGTTTAACCTGCAGCGGCACCACAGCCCTATATATAATGTCAAGCCACAGATTAAAATCACAGAACAGATCTTGAAGAGCCTTACATAATGTAATTCTGGACTTCTGCCAAACCCAAGCAAACCAACATTTTTTCATATCCTTCCCCGACACACCGCCCTCCCCCCAGCCAGGCCAAGCCTCCATATTCAGACACAGTACATTTGTAGAGGCTGCAATCGAAGATGCCCTTAAGCGTGAACCGCAGTGTGATTGTTTTCAGGGCCAGAGTGCTTAGGATGGCATCGTTGACCTAGTTCTTTGATTGTAAGCAAGGAGGTTACCAGCAGTTCACCTTGACCATGGTCCTTTTGTGACGAATGTAGGTGTGGAAGCCAAGCCATCTCATTTTCATGGAGAGCTCAAACACCACGACTGTCAGGGCAAGCAGCTCCAGGGTTGCGTGGATCTGTAATCAAACCAGCAAAGCACAATATTACCAGCCTAAAGATGCTTGCACTGCTTAAAGAGCAATCTGAAATTCTGTTTGGAGCTTGTTCCTCTGTTCTTTCCCAACAGCACAGGGCAACACAGATCTAACAACAAAGTGAACCATCCTTTCCAACCTAAGAACAAAGCTACACGTAACAATACATTCATATTTCAATTTAACATTTACTTTTTAAGACACAAGCAGCAGACATGTATGTCATGAGCATTTGTGTGAGTGCACCTTTGCATGTGCCAGCTCTTGGGAACACAGGATGGAGGAGGAGTTTGAAGACTTCCTCCACTATGATCACAAAGACTAAGGTCAGTCCTCTGAAAAAGTGACCAGCACTAGGAGGAAATCTTGGTGAAGCTCATCAAGCTAGTCCAGTGATTATCAACCTTGGTTAATCCAGATGTTCTTGGAAGGCTATTCCATGAAGCCTTCACCACCAGATGTGCTGGCTGGGTTTCTGGGGGTTGGAGTCCAAGAACACCTTCAGTTACCAAACACTGGAAACACTAAGCTAAGTGGGGTGGGGAAAAAACAGTTAAACTTCCTTTCTTAATCTGCTGCAATTCAAGTAATTTTTCTCTCTTTCTCACCCACACAGCTTAAAATCACCATTCACATTTTTATAAATACACATATTAAATGAAAAGACACCCTTTATGCTGCATCTAATTTAAGCCTAGGTCTGGATAGAGGCCTTATACTTAAAAGTTAGAGAATGTCTGGATTAAAATTATCATCCATTCTCCTGCTTATCAGCAACACTCGGCAAAATTATTTATTGGCCTTAAAACTATCACAATGCAAACTATTTCCCCTTGGATATGTTAACCAATCAATCATTTCCTTACTGCATATCAAATAACTGCCTTAAAATACATTACAGAAATAAATATATATATATAGTTGGCTAAAAAAAACTAAAGCAATTTATTATTTCTATCACTTTGCATTAAGATTGCTAGTTAAGGTGCCCATTGTGAAAAATATCCACACACTGTACATAGCACTATTTTAGAAAACTACTAAATTTTGATGGGGAAAAAAATAAAGGGTCCATCAAAATCTGGCTGGACCATAGAAACATTTAGGAAAGACCCATAGCCACCAGCATTATTTTCAGAGCTTTACATAAGCAGATTCCATAATGTGTGAGAACTTCCACATCCCAATTGGGAAGCAGTCAGTGTCACCCAAATGGCATGATTGTGCCCATCTCTGGAAGTCAGAGAGCAACAGTGTCAGTCTATTGTACCATTATGTAACCATATTTCCCAACATTAGGGTCTTTTCCAGTGACATAGCCACCAGCATTATTTTCAGAGCTTTACATAAGCAGATTCCATAATGTGTGAGAACTTCCACATCCCAATTGGGAAGCAGTCAGTGTCACCCAAATGGCATGATTGTGCCCATCTCTGGAAGTCAGAGAGCAACAGTGTCAGTCTATTGTACCATTATGTAACCATATTTCCCAACATTAGGGTCTTTTCCAGTGAGTCTTCTCTATTACCATTATTTAACCATATTTCCCAACATTGGGGTCTTTTCCAGGGAGTCTTCTCTATTTTGGCCATTTCATGAGAAGAAAAGACTCCCTGGAAAAGACCCTGATGTTGGGAAAGTGTAAAGGCAAGAGGAGAAGGGGACGACGGAGGACAAGATGGTTGGACAGGGTCACCGAAGTGACCAACATGAATTTGACCCAACTCCGGGAGGCAGTGAAGACAGGAGGGCCTGGCGTGCTCTGGTCCATGGGGTCACGAAGAGTCGGACATGACTTAACAACTAAACAACACCAAACCATATTTCCAATTTTTAGATCACATTTATTGAAGGCCCTTGTTCATCCCTCCCGGAGATACTTACATAGATGCCAAGACGGAGCATGGGAACGGCCGGCGCCTCGCAGAGGGACAGCAGCAGGAGCAGCAACGCAGTGATCAGCTCCATGACGTAGAAGAAATGATTGTGCACAAAGAGGTAGGCAGCCAGCGCTTTGGCATCCTTGGGGTGTGTGAAGAACTTGTCGTTGTTCTCTCCTTCCTAAGGTCAGATTCCAAAACAATCCATAGGAAACCATCCCATTTCTGACAGACCCAGAGCGAGCAAAAATGTCATGGTGGACCCCCTACGTTCAGCCCAGTAGAGAAAGGCAAGGAATCCAGGAGCATGCAATCCGACAACCCCAAGAGAATCACGGAGCAAGGTTCGAATTGAGGACTTAGTGGCTTCCTCCCAAAGAAGACCCAGGCAAGAAACCATCTGCCAAGCTCTGCTGAACCTGAAGTACCAACTAATGCCTGCCCTTGAAGGAGAGATCTGGATTCAGAGCCAAACTGTATTAACAAGCAACTAAAACCTGGCATTATTTCCAATTTTAAATGTGTGAAGATCTTCTTTTGCTTAAGCAACTGAAAAAGAAATAATGTGCTATTCTGGGAGGAAACAGCGCCCAGCTTATCCTTTGCTGAAAGAAAAGGGATAAGCTGCTCCAAGGAAAACAGCCAGTTATGACCACTGAAAGGACCTCCCATTCTAAGGGTTTTTTGTGAACAAGGTTATTCAGGTTCCCAGCTATTCTGCATATAACTTGCTCCCTCAGTATGCTTGAGTCATGCAAAGGAAAGGAAACAAATCAATCTACCTGGAGGTAGATTGCCGACTCTTGGTAGTTCATTTCCCAGTTGTGTCTTCCATGGGTCCTCGGAGGAAGGGATCCCCCGGAGGGGCGGGGGGGCAAATCACGGACCAAGTCATAATTGCCTCCATCTGTGTTGAAGGAAAAGAAGTGCAGAAAGATGGTTTTCTTACTCCCGTCCTTTACTCCAACCTTTCTAAACAATGATAAAATACATACTGTACACTCTTCCAAAAGAAAAGGCTTCAAAAGGACCAACTGTTCAGGTTGTTTGACTTGAATTTATTACGAAAATATGTTTTTTATCTTGTTGCCCCGTGCTCTGCGACTCGTTTCCTGAGTCTTTTACTGAAACGCGATGCCCCTCCAGGGATTCAGGAGGAGAAATAAGGTGGAGCTGTTTTGGCAGGCCTTCAAATATTACTATGTGTTGTTTTTTTAAAAAATGTTGTATTTTATTTATTTGTGTTTCTACCACTTGTGTGAAGCATGTTTGTTGTTCCAGACTGTTGTTTGTTGTACATTTTAATGTTTTGTATAAGTATGCTGTGCACTATCCTGGGCGTTCTCCAAAAGAAGGGCAGCATAGGAAAACAAAGAGCAAACAGTAAACAGCCACAGTAATAAATACAGAATACTAATTGCTAAGGAGCCTGTTACGGTCTTCTCCTACCAGGTGGATTCCAGATGTGTTGGCCCACAACTTGTACTACTCTAGCCATTAGCTGTGAGAGATAGGGTGATGGGAGTTGTAGTCCAAGAGGACACAGGTTTGAGGAGAACCAGCCTGTTGGTGTCCTGTCCTGCTGGGGGACTTCTCGGAGGTGGCCCCTGCGCAAAGCAGGCTCCCGTTACGACTCAACAGGGCTATTTTCTTTTCTTAGCAAGGACTGAACGCTTGGGGACAGCATGGCTGGATGCAGTTTTGTTTCGCTTGATGAAGATAGTTCGTTCCGTTCAAATCGCTGTTAAGCGAAACCCTCATCAAGCAAAACAAAAAAGCCCATTGAAATGCATTGAAATGTGTTCCAATGGGCTAAATACCTCAGCGTCCAGCGAAGATCCTCCATAGGGCGGCCATTTTCAGTGCCTGTAAAGCAAGGAATCCGTCCTAAAACACAGCGGGGAGCCATTTTAAATAGCAGGGCGGCCATCTTGAAGACCCAACGATCAGCTGTAAAGATCATCGTTAAGCGAAAAATTGGTTCCTGAAGCAGGGAACCGATCGTCGTTAAGCGATTTTTGCCTATTAAAACATTGTTTTGCAATTGCAAAAACTTCATCGTCAAGCAATTTCCTCGTCTAACGAGGTAATCGTCAAGCGAGGCACCACTGTATGGGTATAAATTCAGTTGTTACTGCCAACTAATTAATTGTGAGCCGCCCAGAGACCTTTGGGTAGAGTGGGCGGCATATAAGTTGAATGAATGAATGAATGAATGAGTGAATGAATGAATGAATGAAACAAACAAACAAACTAGAGTGGACCCAGTGAATCAATGGAACTTCCATAAGTGCTGGCATGCCATAGGCTCATAGATACGGTGGGTTAAGCCCTGACTACCTGGGCTGTTGAGCCTACTGTTTGGAGCGCCACTGTGATCGATTGGTGCACTCTTAAAGATGGAAGTCAGACATCTTTGTTAGATCACACCAGACCAGACCCAGTGTATTTTATGAGCATCTTTCTGGCCCATCAAGAAGCTTGTACTATTTTGGTGTGGGTAGGATCGCTCCGGTTTGGATCAGTTCCAGCGCCCATGATCCCTGGAACCGATCCAAAGCAAGCCTTCCTCTTTCAATTTGCCAATAACATGACGTGGCTTAATAAGCAACCCCCTCCAGGATACCGGCCAATTAATCATTTCCCTTGCTCTTCAGAGAGCAGGGAAAGTGAAGGGGAAAAATTGGCTGTATGTCGACTATCGTTAATGTGCTACATCCGTCATAATCATTTTTAAAATCATGTGTTTGCCTCACCTGCAAGGGCCAGACAAGAAACCGCCAGCAGTCAAATCCACAGTAGTGGATTTTCTCAACTGGCCCTTTTAAGAAAAGGCAAAAAAATATATATAGACTATTGAAGGGGAAGATATGGAGGCAGTGACAGATTTTACTTTCTTGGGCTCCATGATCACTGCAGATGGTGACAGCAGCCACGAAATTAAAAGACGCCTGCTTTTTGGGAGGAGAGCGATGACAAACCTAGACAGCATCCTAAAAAGCAGAGACATCACCTTGCCAACAAAAGTCCGAATAGTCAAAGCTATGGTTTTTCCTGTTGTGATGTATGGAAGTGAGAGTTGGACCATAAAGAAGGCTGACCACTGAAGAATTGAT